ATTTCTATATAATCGGTTTAAAAATATATAATTCATCATAAACAAGGCACTTATTATTATCTATTAAATCTTTTACCTCTTTTGATTGTAACGCGTAATTTTGAGTAAAAATATTGTTAAAAGTAAATAATTAATCACTATTATAATTAATAGGATTTTTTAAAAAATAATCCATTTATAAATATTATATTTTTATTAATTATTTTTTTAAAATATTGTTGCTATTGTTTTTTATATTTTAATAATATATATATATAAATCAAATAATTGTTGTTTTTTTAAATAGAAAAATATAATTTGTTTATAAACAAAATATAATACACATAAGATTTTATTTAATTTATCGTTATTATATAAAAAATTTATTTAAATTAATTTCTACTACAATATTTATATATCAACTTACTTGATTATATTAAATTTTTTACTTTAAAAAGATAGATTTACATATTAAATAAAATTCATATTAATTATTATTGGTTTTAAATTATTCAAAACTATAATTTTATTATTATTATAAAAATATTTTTATTTTTTATAAATTAAAAACAAGCAAATATTATAATACTTTTTATTTTAAATCTTGAAAAAGATAAATATATATATAATATTAAATCAAATATTATAAAATAATATAATAATAATAATAATAATAATAAGTAATAATAAATAATAAATTATATAACAATAAAAAAATATAATTAATATTAATAAAATATTCATTATATATAATAAAACAGTATTTTTTTTTCTATAAATATATATTAACAATAAATTAAAAATTAGCTTGCTTATATAATTTATATATTGTGTAGTGCAAAAAAAATCAGAATCATATATTTCAATAACTAATTAATCAAATTATATAAAACTTTATAAATAAATTTTTTAATGTCTTATCAATAAATTTGTAATAAGTCATATAAAATATAATAATAAATTTTTTTTTATTTTATCTTTAAATACAATAAAAGTTGAAAAAAAAATCAATTTTCAATTTTTTTTATATAGGTTTTATAATAAAAAACTGTTCAGAAAATTAGTCAAATTTCAATTCTATTTAAATTTCAAATATTTTTATAATAAAAAATATACTTAAAATTAAAAAAAAAATTTTTTTTTATTTTTTAACATTCTAAATATATTTATATAAAATTATTTTATTTATTGATTAGATAAAATTTATAATAATAATTTTTTGAAAATTACAATAGTGAATTGGTTTTTTTTGTTACTTTTTTTAAAGTAACATTAGTTTTATATTTAAAAAGAACATTAAAGTTAATATGAAAATTTAATAAATAATTATATGGTTTTTCTTATTTTTATCTTAAAAACAAATTTATAAAGTTTTATAACATTTAAATAATTTTATATTAATTTATTAATAAAACTATATATTAAAAAAAATTCTGGTTTTTTTTGCACTACACTGTATAAGAAAAAATTAATTTTGACAATTTATAAAAAAAAGTAACTATTATACATAATACTATTACATATATATATATAATATAATATGTATAATATACAAAAAAAATTTAAAATACAATAATTTGCTTATTTTTATATATTTCTAGTTTGATATCTATAGGAGATAAATGTATAAAAAAAGTTATTCTTTATATTAGGTTTATTAGTTTTTTTATATATATTATATCCAAATATTTGATTTTTATTTAAATTTAGTTAGATCAGATAAAAATAAAATCTCTGATCTTTTTGACAATTATAAATTAAAAATAAATCAAAACAAAAAAAGTTATATAAAGAAAGACTTTTAATCTAACTTTTATAATAAACTTACAAATTCTTCTGATATGATAAACTTTATAATATAATTAAAAAAATTTAATTTTAAATTAATATATTTTAATTTGAAGCTTTAAGAATTATTTTAATTATGATATTTTATAAAACATATATATAACTAAAAGATAAGATATTAATTACAAGTAATTCAATTCTTAATTCTCAAGTTTATATTAAATTTAATATATAGGTTATAACTCATTATCATTTTTAATAATGTTTTAATTTTATGTGAGTCTATACAGGTCTATTTAATTTCAATTTCAGAATTATAGTTACAAATAATAATAATTTAATCAAAAATTATTAAGTTAAGTGTGTTTAGTAAGATCTCAAAAATTAAATTGGAATTCAAACAAAGAATATCAATTCTACAAGTAATAAAAATAATAGTATTATATTACATTAGTAATATAGTTTAAGAATTAATGATAATAAGTAACTGGAATACTGAAATTAATTTTTATAATAATATTTTATGACTTTTCTTTAATGAACATCTAAAAAATATAATTGAACCAATAAAATAGATAGATTTAAACTAATAATAGAACTTCTTTCCTTTTGTATAAATTCCATCTATATGTAAATTCATTTACTTGATATTTAAAAATTGATTAATTAAAGTAGTCTAGTTGATTTAAGAAAAACCAGTATTATTAAAAATGATAATTACTGGATAGCATTAATTTATATTTAAAATATTAATAGTTTAGTTTGTAAAAATGTTTGATATAATAGAAAGATATATATATTAATAAAAACCTTATATCTAATTATGATTTTTTATGTATATAAGCTTATACTATAGTTTAATTTATCTATCTATATTTAATTCCGATTTTTCATCATTATCATTTATTATACACGAATTTACGTATATCAAAATTATAATGAGTCGAACGAAAAACATGATTTCTTCTTAATCTTGCTGTCAAAAATGTGTTGCTTTTTTTAGTTTAATCACTTATTTCTTTAAAATTTCTACATATAATGTAGCTAAACCAATTAAAAAATAGCTTTTGTGCAATTTCTCACACCACCCCATTGTCTTTTTTATCAAGGTGTCTCATTTTGTTTTTTGCAGTCTGAAGCAATACATAAAGGAAATGACAAACTCATTGTTTACGTACGGATCTCCGTCCCAATTCGGAATTAATGGTTATCGTTTATCGTACAGTGTGTAAAAAAGCAAAAGATTTTCGTTAGGCCAATCCTTAATCTTAATCAAATATAGAAATAAAAGGATTAGTATACATTAATGACACAAGAATGTAAAGGCTGCATAACAAAAAGAGTTTAATTAGCATTTTGTCAAGCGCTTTGTATGACGATCGTATTTCAATTTCCATTTCTTTCTATTAATGATGCATAAGTGCGTATAAACATATGCGCCTGAATGATTTTAATAAACGCGTAAAAACGATAAGGAAAAAAAAAAAAAACGCTGTCGCCTTTAAAGGATAACAATCGGCAAAGAATAAAAGCTTTTGGTATGAATTGGAACGGAAACTCCGGGAAGATTTGCAATTTCTTTAAACTAAAATCATTCATCACACGGAAAAGGTTTTGTTATATAAATCAGCGTTATTTTTCTCATGGATAAATTAATTGACAATAACCAAATAAACTTGAGTTCGTCTTATTTCTCTGTTCTTAGAACTTTCTCCCCATCTAAACTACAGTATGTCAGAAATGTCAAATTTATATAGTTCACCATTGGAAAACACGCCTAACGCGCGTGAATACATCGACATCATGGTCGAGATACGCAAGTTTACCTCCGACTTGGAGGAGTACACGCCAATTATCGTCGCTTTTGGTGATCAGAGCTCAGGTAAGAGCTCTCTTATGCAACGGTTGACCGGCGGGATACCGGTGCCAAGGTAATTACCGTTTTCACCTCTTGATATTTTACACGTGCGCAAAGGATAAAACGAGAAAGCTTTTTTATGAAATAGGGGAAGTGGTCGATGCACAACAACACCATTTGAGATCAGAATGTTGCAATCTGAAACTCCAAAGAGTAAAATTTCTCTCCGCTACGTCGAAGACAGTCTACAAACAAGGGTTCCTTCACGTGAAGTTGAATTCGCCGATATACTGGGTCTAAGCAATCCTGAAGTTGAAGCAAAACTCCGAGAGGCGCAAAGATATCTTCAAAATCCAAGTATCAGAGACGTTCATACAACAAGTCTGCCAACTGATGACTCGGATGAGTTGAAGTTCACAAGAAATACTGTTTGTGTTACCATCGAGCATCCTAAGATTGAATATTCCTTGGATATGGTTGATTTACCAGGTTTGTAAAGTTTTTTGCAAAATTTTCGAAGAATTCCAAATTCTCACGACCTAAATATTCTTTTTTAGGAATTGTCCGTGATAATGAAGCAAACGAAAAATTTGTGGTTAGCCTTGTTAGGGAATACATCGCGAAGGAGAACACCATACTCCTTCCAATTTTCGCATCAAATGTTGATATAGCCACTCAGAGTGCATGGCGTTTGGCTCGGGAAGCCGATCCGATGGGTTTGAGGACAGTCGGAATCATTACCAAGATCGATCAAATTCTCGACTACACATATCATGAGGATAGACACAAAGAACTTGCTTCCCTGGTTAGTGGTAGAGGTGAACACACCATAAAAAACGGGATGTTCATCATTAGAAATCCATCGGATGCGGCAAGCGACAGAGCCGTGAGCCCTGGGGATCTAGAGGTCGCTGCGATAGATAGTCTGTTGCAGAATCGAATATGGAGAAATGTTCCTCGAAACCGGTTTGGATTACCGAATTTGATCATGAAGTTAAGTGAACTTCAAAAAGTGCTACAAGAAAAGACGTGGCCCAGGATTAAACTATTTTTGGAACGGCGAAAGTCTGAGGTAATTAATTTGTTGTTGTTTTTTTTTATGTCGTTCACAACGTTTAATACTATATAATGATGATAGCTTGAAGATAAATTGCAATTATTACCACCACCACCGGATGGCAACCCTGTTAAACGATTCATGGAACTCATCAGTAAATTCGACAAAGAATTCTCAAGTCAAACGAACACGGATCACTTAGAGCCACGTTTGTACCGAGGCCAACAATGGAACTTCGGACAATTCGACGTGGCACTTCTAAATACTCGACCAATTTATAATTTCTCATTTATAGGTTCATATTCTACAGAAACCTTCGATCCAATAAAACCGGGTGCATTGCAATATTCCGAATGGACCGAAAATATGCGCAGAGAGATTGAGGCGGAAGAATGGGGTTCGAGTTTCCATCAGGATAATCATCAGTACACCTGGGATCTAGAAAAACTTTGCGAAGTCGTACAAAGAGCTCACGGCGGACAACTAGTGGGCTATTTTCCTTACAAGGCAGTGGTCAACATTGTCGAAAAGCATAAAAAAGATTGGTTTAAGATTTCTCAGAAGCTGCTATATAAGAATTATGAATGGGTTGCCAATTTCACGGATGAATTAGTTGAGGAAACGTTCAAGGAATTCTCTAATGCCATAAAAAAAATCAAGTATGATCATTTCAACTTTAATTTGTGGATTTGTAAGTTGCGTTTTTTTTTACAAATGTCATCTCTTTTACAGAGAGGTCTTAAGAGAACTGCTCAAGAAATATAAGGATGAAACGTTGGGTCATCTTGAACATTTTAAAAATATGGAATCTATGTCCGCGAACCGATCTTTGTATACGACTGATGAAGCAACCCTTATTAAAAAACAGAAAAAATATCATATGCAATTACGTGTATTATGTGCGACATCCGCTCAAGACCAGGAACAATCGAGAAAAATATTAGCTGCGATTTCTGGATTATTGGAGATGATGCAAGATAATAACACACCAGCAGAATCATTAGAACTTACAAAAAATTATTTGATAGAAGAAATTAGAAAAACAGGTTCACTGGACAGTGCATCTCAACAACTAATTGAGGAGGTTAAAAGTGCAAGGATCGGTGGGGAAAATGTTTCAACAGCCACATTATCCATGATCCATGCCGTGAAGAATTCGTATGTGGATAAGATGATTGGAATTGTCCCCAGAACAACGGATCACGAAGAAAATAAGGCGATATTAAATAATAATACCAACGAACAAGCTTTCCTTGCAGCAACTGTATGTATCATGGTTGATCTTACTTAAAAAAACTCGTTCTGATGTCATGTGAAAACCCTTTTTCTTTCAGGGTGCATTGGCGTATTGGAAGATGCTGCATTCACGATTTCGTGAGGTACTATATCTATTGTTTCATTTCTGAAAATCATACAATGCTTTCTTTTGTCAAACTAATGATTATCCTACATTTATTACAAGACTATTCCACGTGTAGTAGAATATTACCTTGTATATCGATTTGCCGGTGATCTCGGCAACTATCTCCGGGAATGCTTTAGTGCCGCCCCTGAAATCGAAAGCGACTCAGATATGTTCGACAGAAACCGATCAATGGATCTTAACGAGCTGTTAGGTGAGGATCCCGAAAATGCGATAAAACGCAGAAAGTGGATGGACGATCTTGACACATTGAATAGGATAATCGATAAGATTGGAAGGATCGGTAGATGCGATTAAACGTAAAAATTAATATTCCAGTGGTGATCATGAGAAATTTTTTTACTTATGACTTAATAAAAAAAAAAAAAAACATATTAGATTGTCATTAATTATTTTAAATTCTGGTTAAAGACAAATAAATTTATTTATTGTTACATACTTTTATTTTTTATTAAAATATTTAGAAAATAATATAACAAATAAAATTATTTATTATATTTTTTGAAAAAAATTTATACAATACAAGTAAATATATTAATATTACAAGATTTTTTAATATTAACAAATTTTAATGACTATACTGTATTAATCAATAAAGTATATAATGATAAATAAGATAGTTAAAAACTTATTGATATTTGTTAAGATTAAGATTAATTAAATTTTAAGTTCTTTACAAATATATTATATAATAAAAGCATTACATATTTTATTTTATTTTTTTTTAAAACCAAAGCAATGTCAATCTTTTCTTTTATTTATAAGGGATTACTAGAAGCAATATTATAATTACAAAAGATTGAACTATATCTTTCTTTGCTAAGAAGAGTCTAATACATAACACAAATAAATTGGACATTCTATCTTAGTTTAACTAACCACCCAAACAATAGAAAAAAAACCAAAAAAAACCTATAAGTTCTTGAGTAGCAACCAGCCCAGGCCTGACATATTTGTATGGTACCTAGTTACATAAGGCACTGCAACCAAATATACAGATTGGTCTTCAAGTCATGACTAGGATTTGTATGCTTGCTTTTTAATTTTGACTTGATATATAACAAGTGGAAAAGTTTATTAATGCATAAAGATACTGCAGTTACTTTTCACAAGTTGGTCTCCAATTTACGTGAAAGTTGACCTATTTACTTTTCAAGTATGACAGAAGTGTCCAGAGGATAAAGTAGTTATGGTAGTAATGATGATAATAAAATTTCTTATAGATGTTGTACCTAACCATACACAAAAACCTATATTGTTAAGGGGTAAGTAAGGAACTTTTATTGTTGTTACCAGCTTTGTTTGTAAAGGTAATTAGAATTTTTTGTTATTACATATTATTCTATTGGATATAGAGCTCCTAATAATATCACTTTGATACCAGTTCGATACTTAAATTTACTATAAAAACATAGGAGTAGGTTACAATCCATATATTAAATTTACTATAAATTGATATTATTTTGATACCAGTTCAATACCAGTTTAGTACTTTTCGGAGTCCTAACTAGATATTCCAATCACTAGCTTGGCACATATAGAATTTTTATATTGATATTGACTATCATATTACTAAATATTATGAAATACAACTCCTTGATAACAATAGTTATATAGTAGCTTCTTAAATGTTCTAGTCTAACCATCAACAAGTAAACAATATTAGATATGAAAATAATAGTTATGTTGATCTTTTGAAAGGGATAAACTATCCATCCTTTTTTAAAAAAAAAAACCATAAAAAAGAAAAAAATTTTCAAAACTTATATCTTAAGAGAGAAGTTATCATTTCTTAATTGATTTTTAAGAGAAAAGAGTCAACAGATCAAAGAAGTAATAAAATAGATAATAATATTTCAAAAGAAAGAAAGGCCTAGAAAAAAAAAACTTTATAGAGAAAGAAAACTCTAGCTTTGGCAGAAGAAGGAAAAAAGAAAAAGGATATAATATAAAAAAAGGTTTATAGAAAAAAAAAGAAAGAATAAGGAAAAGGAAAGAAGAATATATAGGAAAGGTGAAAAAAAGAATAAGAAAGGAGAAGGAAAAACAAAAAAAAAGTAAACAACTTAAAGGTTTCCTAAAAAGGAAATTTTCAAGCACAAAAAAAAAAGTGGAAAAGAGTTTTTTTTTATTACTTGATTTTTTTTTAAGACTAAGTATAATATTTTTTTTTTTTGCTTCTAATCAAATTGCAAAAGTAAACATTTATTCATTCAATTTTGAAAAACAATAGTACAATATACATAATACTATACTAAAGCTAAACTAGCATATAAGATTGCAAAACATTCATCAATGAATTTAAATTTGTACATAATTCTTGAATTCTTAATACCAAGACTACCATGTTGCTTACATGATTTAGCTATTTACTAACTATCTCACTACAAGGGAGTAGGTTCATTAAGCTATTATTGTATGATATTAACTATCTTGGACTTTCTAAATCTAAACTTTCTAAATGTGATCATCAGAAATAATAAAAGTTGCTTTCTTTCAAGACTAGATGTCATAAACTATATCTTGAAAGATCTTGGCCAGCCTATATTCAGACTGTTACCTCAAAATAATTCTGTGATTATAAGAGGTAAAAATTTTTATTTTTTAAAAAAAGAAAATGATAATATAAAGAGTAATTAAAAAGTTTATTTTGATAAATAAAAACCCTCCAATATCAACTTCGGTCCATCAGAATAAATCCTTTACCATTACCTGCAACTAGGCAAACCATTTAATTTTCACTATTTCATTGCTGACCAAAAATGTTTAAGGTATTTATAACAAGTCTTATACTTATAAAGAATTATTGCTTGATGCCTTTTCGAGATAATCAACAATGGAGAAAGCTTGTTACTGAATTGGAATGAGACTTTTTTTGATCTTGAAAAGAAAAGAAACCAGTTTTCTTTTTACTATAACCAATTGCATTATCAGGTTTTATATTGTACGAGATAGGACACGTGAGAGTTATATGTCTTGTTTACATTTTTTACTACATGTCGATCAACCAGTCCAAGATTTGAGCCAATCACCATTCAAGAATTCTGGTGTAACCAAAAATTCAGGGTCAAACTGAGGTAGGCAAAATTTCTTAGAAAAACTAGAAAAAAGTTTATATGCTTGAAAAGATAGGGAAGGAGCTTGAGAAAGATGAGAGAAGAGTTCCAAAAACTTATGCCAGTTTTTTCTAGAGTCTTGAATCTCTGGAGGAAGAGAGGGTGGTACTTTTTCTATAGGTTCTTTTTCTTAACAAAGTTTTCTTGCCTTTAACTTTGTAGATAGAAGTTTTTTCTATTTACTTGCAGAAATACAAGAAGTTTATATCAAAAAGAGAAAGAAACAAGTGGGAGAGACTATGCTTCTTGATATGTATATTGTTAATAAAAGTGTATAGACTTTATTACAAAGAAATATAAAAATTTTCTTGGAACATCTGTTTTTTGTATTGGTAAGGGGATCAGCAGAATGAGTATACTATATATATAATAATATAAAAGAAATTATATTGATTAAAAGAAAATATAATTATATATAAATTAATAATATAAATAAGTAATACAAGTAATACTAATTAATTTATATTAAAAAACTATGTAACAAAAATATAATAATTTAAACAATAATTTTTTAGAATTTTTAGAAATAAAAATATTTAAGAATAAATATTTCTATAATATTTTTAGATTATATAATATAAATTATATAACATATAATATTTAGAATATAAGTTAAATATGAAATTAAAACATATCTAAAACTTTTGTAACTAAATATTCTTACTTATAATATTGTTAATTTTCTATATTAAAATAAGTCAATTTAATTATTTTTAACTAAAATCTTTAAATCAAGAAAAATAATTTTACAATAAGAATTTTTTTTTATAAACTCTTTTCTAATCATATCTGTTTTATTAAAAATTTTTCTTTTATAATAATTTTAAATAAGAAAAAATAGTTTATACTTTTTATTGCAAATAAGCTTTAGTTTAAAAATTTAGGAACTTTTAAAACAATTAATATAATAGAATAAAATTTTTGGTCAAAGTCTACTCAAGTTTAAGAGTTTTGCTTATCCTTTGATTATATAAAGAAAGGTTCATAACAATTTTTTTTCTTTTGTTCTTTTGCAATCCTTTCATTTTTATTATATTATAAAAATTATTTATATTAATATTATTATACTTGTCAAATTAAATATTTTTTAAAAAACATATTCAAATAAAGTTATTAATTAAGTCTATTGTTTGTTTCAATATAATTTTTATATATAACTTTATTATAATATTACTTATTGTGCCATTTTAAAATTTTTAAAATCAGTTTATTCTCTCTAAATAATTGTTATTTTTCAATTATTTACTCAGATTTTATTAAAACAACAAAACAAAAACTGAACCTATTTAAACCAGTTTTTCAATATGATAATAACAATAATAATATCAATATCAATAATAAACAGTATTAATTTTACTTAATTATTTATATTAACAAAGATTATATTTCTAAAATCAGTGTTAGTGCAAAACTGAACAATTGATTTTTTTTTTGAAAAATTTTTTTGTTTATATAAATCTTATAGTTTAAGCAACTTAGTTTTAGTTTTAATAACTATGTTATTGTCATTTTAGTTTATTTTTCTTTTCAATTTTTTTTTATTTTTTATTCTTTTTATATTCAATTAAAAAATTTTAAGTAAATAAGTATGGTTACTATTTAATTATATTTAATATATATAATATTATTTTAAATTTTTTTATGATATTAGCTAGACATAGATATATAGGCAAGCTAGCATTTAACTTGTTATATGCTTTGCATTTAAAAAATGTTTTTTTTACAATATATATAATTTTATAAGTATAATACTATAAATAAAAAAAACAATATTTATTTATTAAAAAAAAAATATTTATAGTAATTTATTAAATTACAAAATATAATAAGAATTTAATATTTTTATAAACAAGATATTAATTAAGAATTATAAAAAAATAATTAATTAAGTTATTATATAATTAAGATTATTATAAAAATCTTTATTTGTATTATATATCAAATATAAGTTATAATTAAAAAATAACATGTCTTTAAACAAATTGAATTAAATATGAATCAAGTACAAGTTAAAAATTATTATCTTTAATATTTGCAAAAAAAAACAAATAATTTGAAGCAAATAATACAATTTTAAAGCTTTTATTAAAACAATATGTAATAAATAATGTTTTTTAAAAATCAATTTTTAAAAATCAAAATTAGATAAGATTAAAAAAACAATATTAATAACTAAATTTTTAAAATTGGCATAATTAAAAAAAAAAAAAAAAATTATAAAATATTCAATATACTTATAAAATTATGTTATAAGCAAACTTTTATAACTAACAGTAGTTACATTAATACTAATTAAATATTTTTTAAGTAACTAAAAATTATAAAATTTTTTTATTTCTCAGATAAATCTTTTTTGCTATTATTGTTTGAAAGATCATTAATTTAATTGTACCAATTCAGTATTTTTTTTTTGAAACAACATAACGTTGCTCAAGTGTAATAAACATTGTATAGATGATTTAAAATATAATTTTTTAAAAGTAATGCATATTCGAAATGTGTTTTAAATGCAATTTAAGAAAAGTAACTTGAAATGTTATTTTGCATAACTTTTGCATAACAAAATAAACTGTTCGAAAGTTTAATATGTTGTATTTAAGATTTAGTATATATATGATGAATTTTATATTATATTAACTTACCTATTTTTGAATAATTAAAAAAATCAAATGTCGAAAATAATAAAAGCTCTGGTGTTAAGAGACAAAAAATTGTTCTTATTCTTTTGAATTCTTTATGTCAGTCGGTATGATTAGAGATAATTTTCCATTCATTAAGCGTAGGATTATTAACTAAACACATTTGGTCCAACTAACTTTAAATGATAATATCGAAAGACATCGGAAAAGCGTCTGATCGAATTGAAATTTAACATTGATTACCGCCAGTAGGGGATCGTATCGCTCAAAATTAATCGTATCTAGGTTATTATTATTTTGGGAAAAAAAGGTGCTTTTTGTTGAACGGTTTATTTAAAATGATAATGTGTATCCATGGAAATCACGAAAAGTCACAATTGTAGTAGGTTTGAACCAGGTCATATGCCGGAATCTTTTAGCAGCCTCATCGCAAGTTCGAACACCATAATAGACGACGCATTTGTGGGAAAGGATCTTAATAAGCACGGTCCAATTCCTCTATAAAATCCTTTAAGACCATCTTTATGTATTTGAAAAAAAAAAAAAATTAATGATCTTACGGGAAATTGTCTGCATCGCTAAAACCTCATTACCTTCTCTATATGTATGTAATGCAACACTTCTCAAAGTAGGAAACCTTCTTGGTTTTACATCAGGTTGTGTCATGTACTTATTCTTTATAGTATCTAATCATCCAGTAAATTAGTTGGCAATAAGACCCATACTATTCGAGATCATGTGACTTACCAAAAGGCATTGACGCAAGCCAAAAGTTGGTGGCACCTAGTCCGCCTGCCAAAAAATTTATTGAAGCCTCGTGAAGATTTGTTTTTCTTAGAATCCTCGAGTATAACTTTTTTTTTTAAATGATAATATTATATTAGTAAAAAAAAAAAAAGAAAAGAAAACTGAATGCTAATGAGATCAATGGTTTCTTATTTCACCTCGTACGAGCCCCACATGACGAAAAAAAATGATCGAAAAAGAAGAGTTCCGGACAATCCTATCCATAATCCTTGGATGCCGTTATTTTTGATCTTATTGGTGCAGTCGGCAAGAATGATAATAACTGATGCTACAATAAAGTTTTACTGATAATAGATATATAATACTTACCAGTTTACGTGCGCAATCAATCGGACCGTTATATAATTTTGTGGAGCTATCATATTGAACTTGTAATCTTGCCTGCAAATTTGGTAAATGTTGAATGTACGTGGTGCGTGCATGAGAGATAAACTTTAGTTGAAGAGCTAGTCATGCCTTACTTTGAGGTGTTCAATTGGTGATGCAATGAAGGATACGGTCCAACCAGCACCTGTAAAATAAGATTAATCTTTCATAACTTGGTGAGTCAACTTTCGTGCGATGAGAGACAAATTCCACCAACCAGCACCGGCTATGGCGTGCTGAAGAATGGTGAGTTTAACCGTTGGATCATTTCCCTGTAGGAGCAAACGATAATTGTGAAGGGATCCTAGCCTGAAATTTATAAGGGAGAATAAGTTAGCACACGATCTCTACTCATTCGATCAGTCCCAGTTACAACTTTGCTTACTCACATTACAGAATCCATGAAACCCCATCCGACAAGCGGTGGTGTTGCCCCTATTATACCATTGACTTATTAAATGATAAAGTCACAAAAATTTGTCACATCCATAATAAGCTGTTATCAAACCCTTGTATAAGGCACGAAACCCCTCCTAATATAAGAGGTTGCGAGAGGTTATGAAAATTATAAAAAGAGTCACGATCGAAATTAATTTTTAAATAATAATTACCATCCGTATCGTCTGTTTCAAACAATGAATCGGCCCACCGAACCTTCCATCTTTCCCAGATGTCTGCAGACGAACTTTGACGGTATCTGAAATTGGTAAATTCAAATTTCGATTTTCAATGTGACCGAAGCTCGAGGTCAAGAAAAAAATTTTCCTTTTTGCTTCAAACAAGAGGTTTATTCTCCTACCAAAGGGATGCCCAACCAGAAGTTTTGTAAAACCAGAAATTATGCCCGCCAAGAACCCTCTCAGTCTATTTGGTTGTTCCTTGGCTGAAGCCCGAGGTTTAGTGGTTACCTCTACGAGAAACACGATTATGTGTCAATCAATGTTCACTCAATAGATTTTCATTCTTACGCGACCGACTAAAATTAAATGTTTACCTAGGCCTACCTGAGGGGCATGAGAAGACATCATAAAACGGATCGATGAATTTCAGCAGAAAAAGATCACCGATGACCCGAGAATATCCTTGATCAACGACAATTTTAACAACTTCACTCGCTTGTGTCACGATACACTGAACAAATGAATTATCTCATAATTGGAGCGTTAAATCAAGTTCGTGTATTCACTTTTCTATGGAACCTAAACGAGCTCATCCACTAACAGTTATAACACTTATTCTTCGAAACTCAGAGACATACGGCGACCCCAAGTGTAACCAAGAATACAGGTCACTTGGGCTTTGCATGCCCGAAAAGGGGGCAGTTCAATTGCCGTTAACATATGAGATTCACGTGTACATGTTTTTTGGATATAAATTACGCATTGTTATCGTGTTATGTCATTGCTAAACTCTCTCTTCATTAATCGTCTAATATAATATTTAATATCGGATATGCTTTTCTTGATTTTCATAGCTGTGTTCGTCTACTATGCTCACAAGCATAATCCAAACGATGAGTCTTTTAGAAATTACATGTTAACCAGAGAGGAATCGAAAGACAACTCTGCTTCTAATTCTTCAAAAGAACTTTTCAAATTTTTCAATAAACTGCTTGTAGGTCAACCGACTGTCCCTGAATTTTATCACAATGATTACTATTGTTGGTCTATTGTTAAATTAAAAGACGGATCAGCTTCATATATAGGTTTCTATGATAAATGGTACTTATTGAGTAAGATTGAAATAATCAGTTCAGGAAGAAATAAAAAACAATCTGATTCTGCTACTGAAATGCAGATTCTAGAAGGATCTGCATACAATGAAAAAGAAGCTGCGATAAAGGCAAAAGGACAACGGGATTGTAAAGTATCATAAAAAAAAAATTTTTTTTTATCTTGTTCTCGAGATCCCATTTCTTCGTTACATTGGTAACACCCACAATTATTAGATAATAAGGCTGCGAGGTTATTTCTGTCTGCGGCAAAAAAATTCCAAAAAGTTGGCGACGACTCCAACCTCTTGGAGGCTGCCATCTGCTACGAAGATGCGTACAAGGCTTTTCAACAGACGAATCAAATAGGTAAGTAATTAATCATTGTGCTAACTTGATTGATCCAGCGATCACACCCAATTTTGCCTTTCCTACAGATAAGGCCCTCGAGGCATTAGAAACGGCCGCCTCAATTTATGAGACGAGTGACAGACAAAATTCCCGTGCCGCTCGAACATACGAGAAGCTCGGAGAACAATATAAAAAGATTACCAACCCCGATAGAGACTTGGAGAAGGCAATAAATGTCAGTAGTCTTTCTATCTTTTGTTTCTCGGGCTGTAACATGAAATATGAAATAATCTTTTCATCTCTTTCAACTGCAGATGTATCGGAAAGCTGGTCTCCTCTTAGAATTAGAGGGCGACGGGTAAGTCCACTCATTATCATTTATTTAATGCATGATCTTGAGGACTAAAATGTGAAACAACCTTCAAAAATCTAGTCGTTATATATTTTCACTTATATCACAGGCGGAATTGTCCGCGGAAATTGGACATTATGAACAAGCGATAGAATTATTTGACATGATAATCGTTTTTGCGTCAAATGATTCATTGCTCAATTTTAAGATCAAGGATCATATATTCTGGCAGTGTATGTGTATTATCGCCTTAGAGGATTGGGTTAGACTTGAGATTCGATTGAAGGAAGCTGTTGAACAGTATCCCTCTTTTGCCGATAGTCGAGAGCGCGCTTTTATCGATGTGAGAACACTTCATTGTATTTAAATCATATCCTCAAGAGTAACTCACAAAAACGTTACATCGGCTATATTTTTATAGGACTTAATTACGGCTAAGAATGCTTGTGATCCATCTGAATTCGCGACAGCCTGTAAGAAGTATGATCAATTAACAAAATTGCTACCATGGCAGACTAGTGTCTTACTGCGAGCAAAAAAAGATTTAGAATCCGAAGATTTGCGATGATCATCCCTTGTTTGTCTTTCATTTATCGATGTTTCTTTTTTTTTTTTTTGACGATAGAATAAATATTTTTCGTAATAAAAGTTTTTTTAACCAGAAAGACTGTGTCCGAAAAATGCACTGGGAATCGAAGCTTATTTGATGATAACAGATGGTGCGACCTACTTTTTAACGTGTTTATCCTTGCCTTAAAATATGTTTTGAGGATCGACGACTGTTTTATGTTTGTTAAAAAAAAAGTGCAATATTAGCATCATCATGTATGGATTGTGATATGCTTTACCAGGTTTAATTCAGCATTACGAAATTGAATATTCACGTGATTCGCTATTACATTGGCTGCCTTTCTTTATCAAAGAAAGCATCAAGCAACTTTTTAAGCAATGCTTTATGGAACCTCACGCAAAATAAGTTTAAAATGCCATTTTAATTAAAATTCATTATCATCGGATTGGAAATAACAATATTATTATTATTATCCAGATCCAGCAATTTGCCACGTTGCTGATCTTAAATTTGATCGATCATGTAATACGATGTGCGTCTCTATACAAGGAAAGAAAAAAACAATCAAAAATTTTTAAAAAATGACAAATTCCACTCGATGCCCAATAATCGTTAATTCCTTCCAATCACGTTCTTTATTCCGTCGATTATGGAGAGCAGGCGATGCCTCGGTCTTATACTCGAGACCAGCGGTCAAATATGTTCGAAAGAGGATTCGTGAGGGATTCGAGGAATATCGACGCGAAACCGACGACAAAATATTGAAGGAACTTTATGAACGCGGTAACTAAAATTTTTCCTTTGTATTTTTGTTTTTGAGTTCTATCCAATTGGGAATGAGGTGGAAAAAGCGATAGTAATAAATAATTTAAAGTCGAAAATACAATAAAATTTATGGAAATCTCTTCCCGTCGAGGTGGATTTGAACATCGAGTCATTCGTACTTTATGTCAGATGACTTACATTGAGGATCTATATCGTCGAAGGTAAATAGTCAGTCTATAATTTTTATTTGGTTTATTATTATTTACATCAAAATAAAGCATGTTGAAAATTCTCGTCATAAAATACATTCGCTAATCGAATTTGCTTCGTTCATTATAAAAAGACCTCCGTTCGTAAATAAGAGACTGAAACCGGAAGTTTACCTCTTTCATAGGCACTCCTATGATGAATACTACAGGACTTTGAGGATGATGAATGATAGTTTGAGAACTTGTTTAAGATGAAAATTTTTTGAGACTGGTTTGAGTAAAAGAAGATAACGAATTGGATAATATCTGAACAACCACATTTCTAATTTTAAATTTTTAATGAGCCTTCCATTTATAAGTCACCAAAGCAGTGTCTATAAACAAAGAAGTACACGGGAATCTGCTATCCCTAAGTGTATTATAAATACACGTCATCTTTTACGCGAAGGTGCGCTTCCTATAAATTCTTAAAGTGAAAAACAAGATATATTGATTAATATCAATCTAATAACGTTATATAAAAAACCAGCTTTAAATCGAAGAAACATTATGTAAACATACAATACAGTGAATGACTGGATTTTTTTTTTAATGTCATTATCGGTCGTACCCCAATTTTATGATTCTTCTTCATCTAAATTTCTCGTTGCCCTCTTTTTGGCGTTAGCCGGATTAACATTTTTACGACGTCCCAAATTTGTTTGAGACGGAGTCGTAGGTCTGTTTAATGTCGTTGTCCGTGTCCTCGTGTTTCTATTTTTGTTTGCTGCACCGTCCTCTGAATGAAATTCCCCATTACTTGGAACGCTTTGTTGACGAGAAGGTACATTTGTTATACCACGCATTTGTCGATTCTTTTTGATGCCCGCTTGTTCTGTATGAGAATCTGAGTTTTCTTCTGAAGAAGAACTATCTATTTTATTTCTGGCACGTTGTTTGGTTGCTGAAATTTTGGGAAGCTCTTCGTCCTCACTTTCTTCATCTGATGTCACATTTTGTTGATCTTTCTGAGGAGGATTCGTTGGGGGCTGTTTACATTGAGAACGTAAGATACGATCTTTTCGGTCATTAATTCGTTTGGCTCTTGCCGGCCCACGAACATTGGAATCTTCATGCATTTAATTATGTTGAAAGATTAGCATTCGTTCAAATATATGGATGTGATCATGAAAAATATTACCTTTCTCATCAATTTCCATGTGCTCACTCTTTTGTGATGCATCGATAGGCGACTCTGGATTATAGATACTTATATCAACCATCTTGCCAATTTCCACCACTTTGTGATGAAGTTGTAAAAGGCCTAAAAAAAAATTATGTTAAAATTAAAAATTCCTCTCGAAAGTAAGATCGTAATTAGAAATTTGGCGATTACCTCTAACCATATCGGAATTGGCACTTTTATATAATTCGTTCATCACGTTAGATACCGCCGTGATATAATCATCCGAGTTCTCATGCTTCAAGATCTCTTTAAGAATCGAATCTAATTGCGTAACCAATGGAGCAGGAAAATGTTTATGAAATGTGGCGAAGACAGCTATTATATATTTTATATTCTCCGATTTAGAATCTTCAGTTGCAGAGTTGGCGACTAGACCAAACAAAGACTTAAGTATCTTTGAATTTGGCTTAATTGTTTCAAGGATCCACATGAGGGCAGTCAATATCTCGGGGTTTTCTATACGGAGAATTAATATAGAAAAAAATGAGTTGAATTTGACTCAGATTATAAATGATCACATAATAGAACGAAATAGTTTACCTAACGGATTCAATGTTGGTAGAAACTTTGAAGTACAAAAGAAGTGCTCAATCTTTTCTTTATCGCCACCTATTTCTGCCCTCAGCAAATGAAACAACATCAATTGATCGAATGAATCCCAATTCAAAGAATGATCTAGAAATTGGTCGCAAAATAACCGATAAGTATAGAAAAAGGAATTCGTCAATGACAAATAAAATGAATGTAATAAAGAAACATACATATTATGTCATCAACGCAATCTACATCCCCAATTATTTTGTACACTCCTTGCCTAATATTGGTCTCGAAAATATATACCTGCACGTGGAAGAAAAAAAAAACATAAATATAATCATGCTCGAATTTTTATAATTTAGAGTAAACAGTTACCTACCATCATGGGATTTATTCGATTAATAGATAGATAAATGAATTTTGGATTTCCCACAAAATATTTTGGCCACTTTATCAGCAACAAAGGTGTTATCAAGAGGAATAAATTACTTTGATTCGATTTAAGACACTTGAAATTTCATCATAATTAAAGCACAGGGCATTAGACAAAATGTTACATACATTTCGTTAAATAACATAGTATTATTAATTTATACCTCTAAATCGTCCATGAATCGCTCCATCATATCTGCATCCACGTCCGAATCCGATGTTGATTTCTCTTTATTGATTTCAAACGATAAATAATCCATGTAATGATCAAGAAAATTTTCGTGATTCCTGTCCGCGCAACCCATCTTATCAAGTTTCGCGCCTCTTAAAAATGAGAACAGTGATTAGAATTAAAGTTAGCAAGGGTAAAAAAAAATAATGGTTTAAGTACGCACTTCAAATCAAAAACCATCAATTTGGTCCTGGCTTTTATATGCATCTCCTTAGGGTTATCGGCTTGATTCGCTATCAATCGCAAAAGTTCAAAAGCCTTATATTTATTAGATTCATCATCTGATGCCTTAACTTGCCATTCGAATACCCAATCAACAAGTTTATTGAAGAGATTTACACGTGACGGAGAAATTTCCAATCGTCCCAAATCTAAACGTACACACCGGTGTAATTCGTTAAAATCCAATGAATTACATATTTGCTTTCCGATGGTTTCAGGTAAATCCTTAAGATGCGGTGAATTGGGATTTTCCAAATTAGCTCTCTAAAGAAATTTTATTATTGTTGTTATGGTAAGTTCACATCGTTTACACAATTCAGTTCAATCTTCAAATACCTCAACTCACCTCCATAAATGTGTTCAGAATTCTTCCAAAAAATTCGATGGCTTCTTCGAAACTATTTTTCTTAATTGCTTCATCAAATGATCTCAGAGATGCTACATAAAGCCACAAATTTGATAAACCGGAAAGAGCCTTTGAGTTGGAATTTGGTGTACGTTGCTCTTGCAAAGGTGTAGCCGGCACCTCATTAGGTCTTGGATTCGGAACTGTAGGCTTTGAAGAAGAAGCAATTGGTTTCCGTGCATTTTGCGGAAAACCGTGTTGAACAGAAGAGTCTACAACTACATTGGAACTCTGTTGAGAATTGTGCACCACATTAATGGCTACAGGTTGTTGCTGTTTTGGAGATACCGATATATTTGTTTGTTGATGAATCCCGTGTGGTGATGAAGAGGATTGCACTTGACCAAATGTGGGTACCGGCAATTGAACGGCTGGTTGGTTCGTTGCAGGATTAGAGATCGAAACTCTGGAAATTGTTGTCTGATTAGAAATATTCTGAGATACCATCATGGGATAAGATTGTACATTATCTGATTTGGTTAACGGATTTGGAGGTGTGATTATTGAATTTTGTGTGAAAGGGATGTTATCAGAATGATTTATTGGATTTGCAGAAGGAAAAATTGGCCCACGAGATGAAAAGTTTGTCTGCTGCTGCGGTTGCTGAAAACTCATTGAAATATTTGGTTGAGTTGGAATAATTTGTGTTCCTAATAATCCGGCTTGGTTATTTGACACATATATGCATATATCATTCATTAGTCTGCCCGCACGAGTTTCACCGGCATAACCACGCATTTGATTTAATTCTTCAAGACTATTATTATTAATTAATAAATCTCATTAAGATCGACGTGTGGATTTTGGATATTGTCATTAAATTATAGATAAATACCTTATCACATTTTTTCGCACCATTGCAAGTGTTGCCGCCTTCAGATTTTCACGAAATTCCATCTCAAATCCTGGTGCAAAATTAACAATCGCGGATGATATGTAATCAATCATCTCGTTAACCAACGGCAAATTACAATTAAGTAATTCGGATATTAGTCGGAATGTCGGCTCTATATGAATGATGTAAAGGTAAACAATCGTTTTACATGTATAATGATTTTGAATTCACGCACCTAGATTAGATCTATTTTCGTTAACCTTTGATGAACCATTTCTGTCAAAACATATCAAATCCAATGTCATTGCCATCTTCATTGAATCGAGGACTATACTTCTCGATGTTCCGAAATCTCTATTATACTGTACGCAATTTTCATGATACTCAATTTTTGCGAATACGTGTTGTTAGTGCAAAGGAAAAAACAAAAAATTAATACTTGCAGTTTCGAGAAACAGTCCCTTAATCAATTGACACCTCATGCTGTTTATAGATGGTTTGTTAGAACGAAACGCGCCAATAATCCATCTAAATATATCAGCCATCAAAAAACGACACTCATTTGGAACTGGAAAAAATTCTTTAAACATTACTTCAAATTTGCGATTATATGCGGTCGGTGTATGCTGCATGAATTAAACAAAACTAAATATCAAACCGAAATCGACTACAAGCTAGAATAAATGATCTATATGTTCCATACGTTTTCTATATAATGAATTAACCTCGCTCTTAAATCACTGGAAATACGACTGTTGAGACAATATTCGGCTGTCGGATTGCGCAAAATTAAAATTTTTGCTTATATATAGATATATATATATAAGTTATGTTTTTACTATTATTTTTCTTTCTTAAAAAAGATAAAGTCAATAGTTTATTACTCACCATTTTGATCTAATCCATGAAATATATAAGCAAATTCAGGGATATTTCGCAACTCGGATAATAATCTGAACAAATCTCGACCAATATTGAAGCACGTATTATACTATACGAAAAGTTTAGATCAAAAGTAATAATACATTGAGGCGCCAGAGTAACGAATAAATCATTTAGCAATACCCGATATTAGCTGACTAAAACCGAGAACTAATTCTAACCTGTTCATCAAAAATCCTTTTACAGAATATCGATTCTTGTTTTCGGAGGATATCTAATCCGGCCTTCTCATGATCTCGAGCCAAGCTCGAGAATGTATAAAAGGTTATGTTTATTAACCTTTCGTTACAATACAACCAAGCTCTATTCATTCAGATCATAAGTTAATTCAGTCCTGAATAATTTGATAATAATAACTCGTGGGATCGATATTTACGTTTCGGAGCTTAGCAAATCGTGCATTTCTTTTATCAACCATATATTTTTTTCTGTGGTATCACCACCTTTCCAAATTGATCGTAATCTTTTGATCAGTAGGTTGAAATGCGCAACGCATACAGAAAAGGATGCACAATTTACCTCGGATTTGTCGAAGGATGCATTCTACAACGTCGTATAATGCCGGTAGAGGATTTTTAATGTTCGGGTGATCAACAATGAGGTTCTTAATAATATAGATCACCTATCAAAAAAAATAATAACTAATCAATTAAGCTTCTTTTTTCTTATATTGAAAATTTCTTATAAGTGATACCCTTTCTGTTGTCTTCTTTGAATACAACTTAAACCCTTTATAGGCTACAATCTGAACCATAAGGGATATAAGGAAAGTATATTTATCATTGTCGTGATCCGTTACATAGTCATAATACTGATAAGCGTAAAAATCCGAATTATTAGTGAATAGCTTACAAATCATTTGAAAACCAAAATCATGCTCACATTCTCATAATCTTCATCTGTCAAAACCGCATATAGTAATGCGGACATTGTCATCTTATAACCCAAAGGTTTCTTGTCGCACTAATAACAGTTGAAATTTGACATAATGGATCCATTAATATTTTAAAATTAATTCCACTTTCCTAGATAACAATCATGCTTTATAATAATTACCAGATCATATAAAACTCGTCTACGGTCCTCTTTCCCCGTCTTTCCATTAAAATTTTCCATAAGCCATTGATGGTTTTCTACAAAATCCTGTTGAAATGGAAATATTAATTGAAATTTAGATAGAGAATTCTAGAATTCGAATGGATACCCTGACAAATTGTGGTGGTTCTGTAACGGTTACAAATCCGGACTCTTCGAACATAATGGTTGTAATATTCAGAATAAAATAAAACGGACAGAAAACAAAAATACTATGCATTGCATATATTGCATATCATATTTGATATACAGTGACACATCAATGTACATCATCTACATATACAACTAGCACCCAAAAATTCATGGTAAACCAATGTCAGAATCTAACGAGATTTCTACGTCTTCTGCCGGAAATAAGAAAGCATCAAAAAACTCGGAATGTCCAGAATGTAAAAGTCCCTGGACTGGTTTTAGATGGTGTAAACCATGTTATTCCGAACATTTTCGCGAAGATTTTCCAAAGTGGACCAGCGGAAACAAAGTGATTGACGAATTTATTCGGCAGGTACAACTGAACGCTCTAGGTAGATCACACTGCCTCGAATGGGTTGACAGTAATAAATTTGTCGATATTAAATTTTTATCTAGAGGTGGATTTGGGAGTGTCTATAAGGCTACTTGGGTGGGCGGACCAATTACGGAGTGGAATGTGAAATCAAAATCGTGGATAAAGTCTCCTACGAATAAATATGTAGTAGCATTGAAGTCTCTGGATAATTCGGAAGATATTACAGCAGATTTTCTTGATGAGGTAATAAATTGCCTACCATATTGTCATTACTTTGCCCATAATGAAATATAAAATTAGATATTGACTTGACCATATTTCAGATAAAAAATATGTTAGATTGTTCAGTGAGTCAACTTTTCATTCGTTGCTTTGGCATCACGAAACACAAAAAGACAGGAAATTATATGATGATAATGGACTATGGATATGGTGGAAGTTTGCGCAAATATCTGAAGACAAGCTTCGTTTTTTTCGATTGGTGGAAAAAGTTGGTCATGGTTAGAGATATTGTTCAGGGTTTGAAAGTGATTCATGAAAGAGGATATGTTCACCGAGATTTTCATAGTGGTAATATAATTTACAACGGTTCATGGCCATGCATCGCAGATCTTGGACTTTGCCGGCCCGCTAACAATTCGGATATGCATGATATTTACGGAGTAGTACCATACCTAGCTCCCGAAGTACTTCGTGGTAAACAATACACCTCAAAAAGTGATGTATACAGCCTTGGAGTCGTAATGTGGGAAATTTCGTGCGCAGAGCTACCTTTTCACGAAAGGCCACATGATTTTCACTTGGCACTTGAAATTTGTCAAGGGCTACGCCCATCATTTAAAAATTACACACCTAAATGTTATGTCGAACTAGTCAATCGTTGTTGGGATTCTGATTCAAACAATCGGCCAACTGCCGAAGAAGTTTTCATTACATTAGATAAATGGGTTCTAGGACTTTTTGATAATTCAAGCTCGCCTGAAATTTTTAAGCAATTTAGAGATGCTGATAAAATAGAGAAAGAATTAAAATATAGAGAATCGAAAAAAGATTTGGTTTCGAATGCATCTGCTGTCTATAAGAGTAGATTACTTGATTTTAAAGAAATTTTAGACGATGCAGATACAAACAATATCGAAATTAGGTCTCGTGGAATCCCCGAGTTGACGAGTAGTTCTTCCCGTGATACCACCTGTAAGCAGTCACAATCTTTCATTACAATAATAATAGTGCATTTCTAACCATAATATATTATTACCTAATAGACGATTCACATCAGTTAAATCTTGCTATTCCTGATGGTAAGTTCCATTTTTATTCTGATGTCTAAAATTGAGAGTGATTTTAATTGTTGGTATAATTTAATTACTGATTTCATTTTCAATTTAGAGATACTATTTTGAAAATCCATTATTAACACTTTTAAAGTATTTTTCATGTCTAAAATATTCAATGTACATTGCATAGATATTCAGATACTTTTACAAATATTTTTTCATAATTATATTTTTAACAAAAAAATTAGCATATTTATTTATCAATAAAAATTAATATTATTATTTTATAATCTTATTATTTAATATGTTTGCTTAAATTATATTTTATATGGTTATACAGTCTGGTGCAAAAGTCTTTAAAACTCTTATAATTCAATAATAATTAATAATATAATATATACATAATAATATTATTATTTGAAAATAAAAAGTACTTTGGATATTTTTTATTAATTATAAAAAAATATTTATAAATTATTTTTAGATTTTGCTAAAAAAATTTGTTAATAATAATTAATAAAATACATATGATTTTTTTTTTTTATGATTTTTTTTATAATTTTTTTTTTAAATAATTTATAAAAACATTAAATTTTTATTAAAAATATTTTTTAATATAAATTAATTTATTCTTTTAATTTATATAATTGATTAATTTTTTTAAAAATAAAATTTTATTTAAAAATAAAAATTTTAATTTATTTTATTTTCAAAAGCAATTATTATTTTATAAAAAATTTCAAATAAACTTATTAATTATTTGTTAATATATACTATATATATAATAGTCTACTAAAAAAGTAATTTATTTATAAAAAAAATTTATTTTTAATTTTAATTAAATTTATTATATTATTAATAGTTTCATACAATAATTATATTTTATTACTTTTGAAACTTTTGTTATTATATATAAATATTATATATGTAATTAAATTGATTCAAACATTTTTCAAAAATTATTTTATATACTATTAAAAACACAATAAATTAATTGAAAATCATATTATAATATATAGTAAGAATTGACAATATAATGGCATATACAGTGGTAATCAAAAAAAATGGCACTGATATTTTTTATTATAATTTAATAAATAATAATTTAATTGAGATAAAACTTTAAATATATATATTTTATAACCT